ATCTCAGTAACAAACTTGGAGGGGGTTGCAATTAGGACTGCAGAAATTCAATTTTGTTTACTTCTATAATATAAAAATGCATTAGGCAGTGGGAACAATCAGACTTGGGTATGGCAGGATTCTCTCAAAAAAAATGTTAAAGACAGAAGCCCACGAAACAGGTGAATTTTCTTGTGGCCTATCCTTGTGTTAGATAAGGACAAGGGACAACATAAACCTCATATTCTAATTTGACATGAGTGTACCTGACTGGGCAGATTATACCAAGGGAATGAATGAATAACAGACAACTTCACCATCCTAAAGCTGTACTTGTGCTAGAGCTTGACTTACAGTGAGCTTTTATGTTCAAGATATAAAAAAACCCCCAAATTAATACAGAACCCAGAAAACAATAGCATTGCAGTAATCCTACCCAGCTATCTTCATTTTCTCTAGCTTTAGCTTCTATCAGAGCCTCCTTAGGTGCTCTGCTGTGCTCATTTTTGTTAAAAACTTGTTTCAGAATTGGGATTCCAGAAAATGAGAAAGATTATTCTTCCACAGATTTCAGAGCACTGCTGGGTGAAAGCTCTGGCAGGAATGACTCCGTCCCTGAAGGAGCCAGTTCCAAGCAGGCAGAGCTCCAAGGCAGAATGGAGGCACACCAGAGTTTTCCAAGAGGGCTTTGTTCCTGGAAAGGTAAAGCTGTGACCATGCCCAGATTGCTCCAGGACAGCAGCCAGAGGCTGCACCATAGAAACACCTGCAGGGTTGTATAAGAATATTGAAATGGGAGGGGAAATCATAGATGTGGATGTGGGTGGGGGTCCCTCTATCACCTGGCATCTCTCTCTGCCTCAGGAGATCCTTTTCACTGTGGGTGCTTGGAGGCAATTAGCAGCCATCATTAGCAGGTGGCAAAGAAGAGCTGAGAGGCTTGGGAGGAGGCAGGCAGATCCCAGCACTGGCAGATGGAGCTGCTGGAGCTGCAGGGACATCCTAAGACTCTTCTGACACTTTGTCCCTAAGCCATGATCACCTGCTTGCTGCAATCTCCTCAGCAGGCCACCTCTTTTGCCCCAGCCAGAGCCTTGTTCTCCTCGTTCAACTAGTTCTTGTTCAACTAGTTCTCCTTGTTCTACTTGTTCTCCTCCTGTTTCTTACAAATAATCCCCTCTTGGTGAGCAGCTCCTTCAGCTGCTCCCTGGATCCCTCCTCTCCTTTGCTGTCTCATCCTTCCCTGTGAAGTCTTTGCAGCACATCACTCTGCAAGTCAAGCATTTTCTTCTTCCAACACCTTCTTCTCTTTACCCTTTAGCTGCTCCAGGGCATAGCATTTTTTTGCAGGTTTCTAAGGTCCCAAGGTGGGCAATGGCCTCCTGAAATCCCACTGACTCCCAGGATTACAGCATGTCTGTTCTTTGTGATTTTACTTTTTTTTTTAGTATTTTTAGTGTTGTGAAATATTAAACTGCTGCCACCCACCACCACAGCCCAGCCTGCTGTTAATGTGCATGAGGAGAACACATAAATAATACTAACAAGACTTTGTGAGTAAATGTGGGGGAAAAAAAGCTACTTAGTTTTGTGGAAAACATATTTCTGACTATTTTACTAAACAGGCAAAAGCCTACTTTCTTCTTCACATACTAGGCTGCCTGTGTTCTGCAGAACACATGTGCAGCAGTTTCACATGTTATTTTCAAGTGCTATAAATAGTTCTCTTAAAATACAAATTGATGCAACCAAATGGCATGGCCTAATAAGAAAATGGAGAAAGATCAAGAGCAACATGCAATATGCAGAAGTACATAATCACACACTCTTGTGTCATGTGAAATCATTCTAAATATAACTCTATGATGATGATAAGAGAAGTACTGACAAGAGATGCAGGACAGGGGATGTGTAGATCACAGGGAGAAGGTCACAGCTTCTCTGCCAGAAGTGCTGGGACAGTGAAGTGGGAGATGGCATAGTCACATACACACCTAGGCAGGAGAAAACCTGCAACACCACCGGGATGTGCAGTGAACCCTGTTTAAGGTTTTGAAGGCATCAGCACAAATTCACTGTCAGTGCAGCCTGTCAGTGTACAGAATCAGGGCCAGATACAAGACAGACAGTAGTCTGAAAGCTTGGGAGCAAACATAACACACTCGGGCATCTTTTAATCCAGATGCCCACCAGCCAGAAACCCTTTGGTGTCTACTGGTACCTGTTGGCAAGCCTTTTCTTACCTTGAAGTGGCCAATCCCTCATCCACCAAAAAAAGCACTACCTCATCACTACTTAGCCTGCTGTGCTGTCCCTCCAAGACAGGGTTTTAGGGACAGAAGACTCAAGACCTTCCTTAACTCTTCTTCTGGTATCTCACCCACATACTCATTGATTCATGTGATGTCATTCCACTCATCATCTTTCATGTTGGTAAGAGGGAATTCTAACCTGTCCCTCCATATCTGATACCTCTCTCAGCCCATCTGTCACCAAAGCCCACTGTGACTGCTGGTCCACAGCTCCATTTTGCTTCTTCCTGTATGACTTTTGCCACAGACTTCTCTGTTTATTCTTTGTTTTCAAAGGTGCTTCCTCTGTTCAGCTGCAGTCTGCCTTAGCAGAAACCACTGGGACCCCCATGCCTTCTCCCACTGCTTTTTCATAGTGAACACAAATGTTTCCTTTCCTCCTCTTCCTCACACACTCTGCCACTGCCAGTCCCAAGTTCACTCCTAGGAACGTGGAGGCTTCAAATCTGACAAGCAGCGTTGAAAGCAGACCAAAGTGCCTGGGTTCTCAGCCTCTTAGTTGCTAATTTTTAATTTATATGAAAAAACCACTATACCTTCAGGCTAGACAAACCATTCTGCAAATGAACATGAGTACTGCAAGTTTTTCTTAGTGCCTTTAGCTAGGCCAGACCATGGCTCATTTTCTGTAGATATCTCATTTTCTTCTCATTTTGTAACACTTGTGAATAGGTGCATTTCTTTTTCTGAAGTCATACCAGAGACTTGGAGTGAGTTGAATCTCTTTGGGGAATATTTGGCTTTTATGTAAATGTTCAGATGATAAACAAAGACTTAGGAATCATCACTTGTGTGTGTAAGTGATGACATTGCTTCTCAGTTACACTCCACAGTGACTTCGTAATGAATGTTTAATTCTCTGGAGTATTGGCAAATATTTTTACTTGGTTTTCTGTAGCTATTTCAGCTGAGTTTTGATATTTTTCTTTATCTGTCCTATTTACTAATACTTCTGGTTTGCCCAGAGGCATCTATTGGAAACATGAAAAAGTTAGGATCCAACCACATATTAGTCTGTAAATGAAATGTTTTCCTTGAGCTGGAAATGTTTTGAATTCAGTACAATTTCTAATCATCATCTGGCACAAGAAGCAGCAGTCAACACAATATAATTGTGTGCTGAGAATTGTTAGCAGGAAAGTTAGAAATACTAGTAAAGATTAAGCTTAACAATAAAAATTATATGACATAAAAATAAATAATGGTCGGCTGCCTTTAAGGGCTAAGGCAGTAATTTTGAAAAAAATAAACATAAATGCCATCAAGAACATTCTGAAAATACTAGTAATAAACACATAAACAAATCATGAAAAAAGCAGAATAAACTGAGAACTCTTACAGAAGAGGAGCTAGATGCACTGAGGGCATTTTCAGTGGATTTCAAATTCTTATAGTACCAGTTATTAATTTAAATCCTGTCCAAACCATGAATGACTGAACCGAGAGAATTATCTACAGCAATCAATTAATACCAGTAAATTTCTCTGCTTTGAATTGTCCATAAATCATTATTTACAGTGTATGAATTATCATTTAATCATTTAGAAATACATGTTTTATGCATTGTATGAGCCCATGGAATGCTTGCAAATTATTTGCTGTTCAAAACTTGATGTTTGTGCAGTGAATTTCATCTTAGTCACATATTACAAAGTACAGCAGTATTTTTACGAGTTTTGCCATACATTCTGTGTGATTTAAAATAAACTTCTAGATGCCAGTTGGGAAAAAAAAAAAATAGAAAATTTCATGCTGAAAGCTGATTGCAGCTGCTTTCAGAATACTATTCTATCCAGAGATGAGCACATGCTTGGATAGAGATAATTCTTGTAATAAATGCTAGTCTTTCATAGCATGGAAAGAAATCCTATGCCTACAATTGCACCAAGATTGTAAGGCAACTATTATTCAATGCCACATACCATATAATTGAAAACCAGTAAAAAATCTAGATATATTTACAGGGATTTTCCTGGAGAAGTAGGTGCTAAAGATAGGGATTTGCATGCTGTAGGCTGAAAAACAGAATAGTCATGAGGAGCCCATCGTGAGACATGAGCCACAGCTTCTCAGAAAGTGTTGAAGAGGGATGATTACAGACCTCCAGATGAAAAGCTGCCTGGGCTGCTGCCAATGAGTTCAGGGGAACCTGTGCATTTGCAAATAATTGGATTAGTCCCTGAAAACCTCTTTTGTCTAAACAGTACCCAAAACATCCACTTTACATGTTCATAATATCTGTCCTTCATTGAAAAAAACGTTTCCATAACTAACCAGCTGGTCACCAGTTCATGGAAGGAACTCCTGCTAGAAGAGAGGGCAGCTGCAAAGCCTGTGAACTTCCTCAAAGACCATCCTGAGCAGTGGGATGGTCTAGTCTGTAAATAAGTTTTATAGTTCTCTTCCTGGATTATTTTCTTTCATTTTGATTTTTCCCCTTGGTAACTCTAAAGTGTAAAAATACATATATGTTTTAAAAAATATAGAGAGAAGTATTTGGAACAGGACTCAACAAATATTCATGGAAAAATACCTTGATCTGAATATGTCCAAGGTACCATCTTATCTGTGAATATGCAGTTAAATCAATTATGTGAAGGTGTGATCAGCAGAGGCCAAAGAGATAGCAGAAACCTTCTAAGGCAATTTCAAGTTCCTATCTGAAGGAACTGCTGGTTCAATAGATGTTTGCATCCATTGCCTGCTTACCATTATCATGGTTTAAACCCAGGCAGCAACTAATACCACTCGCTCCTCCAGTGGGATGGGGGAAACCTTGGAAGAGAAAAAGAAAATTTGTGAGTTGAGATAAAGACAGTTTAACAGCTAAAGCAAAAGTGGGGCACAAGCAAAGCAAAATGAAGAATTCCTTCATCACTTCTCATGGGCAGGCAGGTGTTCAGGTATTCCCAGAAGAGTGGGGCTCCATCACAAGTAACAGGGACACGGGAAAATGACAATCATCACTGCAAATGTCTCCCCTTCTTCCCTACCCTCTGCATGCTGAGCATGATGCTAGACAGTGTGGGATTTCCCCTGGTCAGCTGTGGTCAGCTATCCCATCTGTGTCCCCTCAGAGCTCCCTGAGCACCCTCAGCCTCCTCGCTGCTGGGGCAAGGAGCAGGAAAGGTCTCGGCATTGTGCGAGCCCTGCTCAGCAGTACAGCATCTCTGTTTTAATAACACTTTCCAGCACAAATCCAAAACACAGACCCAAACTAGCTACTGTGAGGAAAGTTAACCCAATCAAAACCAGGCCAGATATAGAAGAAGTTGCCTCACTGAAATGAATAAAATATGTTCATATCGGCTAAGTCAGAATTTCACTCCAATCACTTAACAGCCTATGTGAATATTTTTGTCTTGGTCCTGCTCCCAGAGTGTGGATGATAGGAGTGTTGTAAGAAACCAGCTTGAAATTTAAGTTTCTTTGGGTTTTGTCACAAATTTACAAATCAGTTTATTTTCCCAGAGAACAGGACAAGTGCAAAGCAAAAATAGACTCCTTTGCTGAGAAAGCATGGCTTAACTATTAAATTGTAGTGATATTAAAAAGGGGTGAAAAAAAGCCCCAACCCAACCCTAATCTTAAAGCCCACATACCAAAATATGTAAATTTTACAAAGCATTGTGTTAGATGAAATCACAATTAATACATGGCCCATCATAACAATTTCCAGGAATTATTTAAAGAATTACAGTGGATATAACTGGATTTTACATTAGGCTTACAGTAACCATGGGACATTAATTTTGACAAAGACACAGTTCCCCCTGTCACAATTGAGATGCATTATTTCAGCAGTTTGTGAAAGCTGAACATTTGTTATTTGAATCACATTAATTTTATCAGAAAAGGCAGATATTTTCTTCAAAGTCAAAATGGTCCCCCTGCTGTGCATTCAGATCTTAAAAAAAAAACAAACAAACCTCTAGAACTGGGCTTAAAAGGAAAAATGCAAAGAGTGCTACACACAGGTCCTTGAAGTACACCTTGATACACCACTCTTCCCCATGCTATCACAAAATCCTTTTGATAGGTAATTATAAGGGATAGGTAATCTTAGTGACATACTTAGGAGGGGAAAATGTGACTTGGCTGCCTGGAATATGAAAGAATGCCACAAATTAGATCTAGTCAAGTAGTACAAAAAGTCATTCATTAACATAGACACAAAAAGAAAGTACCAAGTTAGCGCTATCATTATTCAAGGAGGTCAAAATTAGTCCTTCATGTACATTCAGTTCATCAGCAATTTATTTGCAAGAACTTCCATGAATCCTAAAAAACCCCAGAATTCTAGCACCAGCAATTATCTTGAAAAACTTCATGAAATGTGCATTTTTATTCAACACTCAGCCTTTCCTATTTTAAATTCTTCCAATGAGGAAGTATTTTGTGCCAGCCACTAAACAGTCCCACTGGGCCAGTGCTGACCCAAGGCTGGTCAGGGATGTAAAATAAAGAACTGATTCTTGCCCACTACCATCTGTATTTGCCTCAGTGGCCACCACACATCATCTGTAATACAAATTAGTAACTTGCATAGAGCAAATGAAAGGAAGTCTGTTTGGCTAGAATTCTTAGACAATATTTGTTTGACTAGGAGATGAGAATTATCACGCTGGATGAAAATATTGATTAATCTAATTGATAACCCAGCTCCACAAGGCATGAAAATAATTCTCAGTAAGAGAGAAAAGCTTATGCAGCTGAAGATCTGCAGTTCACTGGACAGCTTGTGTGCTGGTGGGCATTTTTCCACCTTTAAACTTTTTTCTTCTGCATAAAACAAACCTGGAAGCTGTCATGATCCATGTCTTTTTTTGTATGTAAAGACATCTACTAAATAAAGGCAAATGGATTTTGAAAATGGCAAACACATTCCACGTAGGAAAAACAAGGAGAAGAAATAGAAATTGTTTTCTCTTTCATTTCTCTCTGTGCACCTCTATGAAAATCCTGAGAGGGAGAGGAATGTGCTTGCCACAGTTCTGGCTTTCCGATGTTATCTTCACCTTTGTGAAAATGAGACTCCTCTAAGACTTTGGATATCCTTAGGTCAATAAGATCAGAAAACTCATGAAGATAAAGAGTCACATCAGCCAAGAGTGGTGCCAAAGATGGTTTGGCAGTCAGCAAAGAGAAGGATAAGGTGTGCTAGCTAGCAAGTGTACTCATTAATACTGCTCCTCAAAATTCTGATTGAGCAAGCTGTGTTCTGGCAAGAGCATGGGTGTAGGACACAATGCACATCAGGGCAGCCCCAGCACTGTGACTCTGTCCATGATGGGACACTGATACCAAGGAGGTGAATCTGGTCACCTTTGTGAGGAAACTGGAGAACCAGTGGAGAACTGTGCAAATGATGTGAGCTTCTGGGAGAGTAAAACATTCCTGCACCTTCTGAATATGAAAATATTTTTGACAAACCTATGCAAGACCAGTGCTGAGGGAATGGGGAAAAACCCAAAAAAACAACAATCCACATCTCAAATTTTCCTGTAGGTTTTTCAGTAGGAGGAGGTTATTGGATTGGCTATTAGCATGGGGCCCATTTCTTCCAGAATTTATTGTCTAGGATGCATATTGAGGGCTCATTATTCCACCTCGATATATTTTTGAGCTGTGGGTGTTCTGCATGATTAACAAAGACAAATATCATATTTTACCAAGGTTTATTCCACTCTAGGCAATTGGATTTAGTCCATAACAGAGAAAATCAAATACAGGATTAGGAAATGCCATTTTTTCTCAAATACAAGCTTGTCAACCTATGGAATTTGTGTAAAAATATATTTAAATGGATATTTGTAGGATGTTTGAACACCAAATGGTATTTTTCTTTTTTTTTTTTTTTTATTAAATGTATTACTTGTCAGAGCGAGTAGCTAATAGAGTTGGCAGAAGACATGGAGTGCACAAGAAGTTATCGAACTGTGTAATAAAGACTCCTTGGTCACTACCACAACTTTATAAGTGTTACTTTCTTTTGGATAATTAAGGGCACTCAGAATTTCACCTCTCAGTAGCTGGACTCTGACTTAGGATGTCCTTGAGGGGCAATGACAGGGACGGGGCCTCTCAGAATAGTGACAGATGATTTTCATACTACTGGCATTGCTTATGGTTGAAGTCAGATTTCCCCTAACACTGGAAATACATGGAGATTTAGAAAATAACTTCATAAACTTGTGCAGGACCTTGGTGTTTATTGTCTGCATATGGACAGATTTTGAAATTTGTCTTACCAAGACATCAATGAACATGAAAAGCATTTAAAAGTTGTAAGCACCCAGCTTATGTTAAATTGTATTGGTTGCCTAAGATATTTCCTGGGCATACTCAGATTTGCTATAGCCTTTTGGCCTGCAGCATACACAGTTCTGACAAATATACAAAAATTTAGCTATTCTTTTCTGCTAATATCTCCGAAGCTTAACAGACCATTTCTTGGACTGGCATCTGATGAAAGGCAGATGTGACAAAGCCATTTTTATGTCCCACTATGTGCCATGACCTAGCATTCCAGAAGAATGTGTGGTACATCCATTTTTCCCCTTCTGTGCAAACACATTACAAAACATCAGTTGGTATGAAAATCTTGAAAGTACCTGCTGTCGGGTAGATATGTTTGTTGTTTTTTGTTTTTGTTTTGTTTTTGTTTTTTTTTTCTTCTTGTTGAGATGGTTTACCTATAAAAAAATATATACTTTTATAATTTATGTGGTTGAATATGGTTACTTGCCTTTAAAAAGGGAATCCTTTGTTATAGCCAACTAGTAAAAGACAACCACTGTAACAAGAAGTCAGTTTTGCACATTGCCCCTGCAGTCATTCACTATTTTGTTCTGCACTGTGGCACAGTTTTCATACCAGTCACGGGTGGATTCTACCTTTTATCCAGAGTTTGATAACACCTTGTGGGTCACAGACTCTCCAAGGAGGAGATGAGGACTAAGTTGAAATTGGATCAAGACCAAGAGGAAGAGAAGCAAGTTTAACCCTCCAGATCCTGTTCAAGTATGCTCACAAAAAGGCTGTGGAATAAAAGGAATTGGAAAGAGATGTGGGTAGCACCATCTGTCCCTGTTTTTTAAATTAAAAAAGGAGATTCCCTGCTGTAGGCGCCAAGATATGGGTGCGAGGGTCTACTTTACAGAGAGGATTTAATTTTGTCGCTCTTAGTGGAGAAGGGATCCCATTTGGCTCTGCACTATTTAAACCACATCCCTGTGTTATAATTCCCCATCAGTCCAGCCCAAGTATCTCCCTGGCTGAATCCAGCTCGGCATCAGCCGCATTCCCCTGTGAGACACGGACCTGTCCCAGCACAAAGAGCCCTGTGCCACGGAAGAGCTGAGTGCCTCGGACAGTTCTGCTTTGTTTGCTGAGCTGCCCAGCATGGCCATGCCCTCTGCACCTTCTGGGATGCCACTCAAACCTTTTGAGGGTTGTTTTGGGAGCCACTTGTTGGAATCTGAGGTATTGATGATTCCCAGATTGTAGAAAGTCTCTGTCTTTCAGCCCCATTGCCAAAGAAGAAGCCATAATTGGTCTGTGCTGGTTTCAAGGTTGTTTATTCTGTTTATCTCTCACATGTTCTGCTGCCCTGCCACAGGTCTGTCCTTCAGTGGGATGTTGCAAACATTATATACCAGAAACTACCTGGGCTGGATTTACAATAACGTGCCAATATCTGTCACCTACGTTGGACAGTGTGTCCCCAGCCTGAACCAACAGAAAAATGCCAACACCACAGTGACACATGGAGG